AACTCTGGGTACCAGGAAGTCACCTGGTACTATGAATGGCCAATATTAGCAATGACATTCATGAGGGCCTAGTAACCTGGGCTCAGCTCCCTCACATTACCCCATTAAGCAGGTAACTTCAACCAGCACAGTGGTGGCTGAGGCCAACTGTGTTGTAGAACATCAGGCAGAGGGACAAGGACCATTCAAATGGCCTTGGACCCAGCTGGAGCAGAGGGGAGTGCTCCCTGTTTATGTCCTGTGATATGCTATTGTACAGATAAATGGATACATTTAATGACAACACCAGGAATGATTTTTCAATCTTTTTTTTTTTCTTTGCAGAGGTTATAAATTAATTTCCCTTTTCCTTAGGAAAAAAATAGGATAAACAAACTGCTTTAATTCCACTAATTCCAGTCAATTTTCCCTCCTGCTATTCTGCATGCCTCCTATTTCATAAATTGGGCTGCATGAGGGTGACCCGTGACCAGATTTAAACTTCTGTGAGGGGACGACATGCAGACAGGCCTCTCCTGCTTGGATTGAACCAATCCCACTCTGCACTGGAATCCTGTCCCTAACTACAAACCTGCTAAAGCGCAACTCACTTCCTCCTTGAAGTCTTCCCAGAAGACTCCATCCCCATTGGCCCCTCTCTCTGAATACCTCATGTGCTGCTGGCATTTAACACAATAACATTGAACAATGTTATGCAGCTTAGCAACCAGGAAAAAAGTCACGTCATCAAGTGTCAAGACCCAGAGGAGTAGAAAAATCTTCTACTCAAACTACTATTGCTAGAAACCTAACCATGTCTGTCAAATTAGCAACTGATTTATTAATTAACGATGACATGTTCTACCTGTATTTTTTTTGATAGCCACAACCATAAGATCAAAAGGCCCATTAATCTTGCCGCTTGCCACATCAAACACTGATAAATTTATTCTAAATATTATCTCTGCCTTTGAAATCACAAAGGTACACACACTATTTGCATATCCAGGAGGTCACCGAGCTGCCCTGGGTCAGTGTCAGCCCATCAGTGAAATACTGAGGACACGACACTGGAGCGCGTTTCAGGAAAACTGCAGCCAGAGCAGTAGATACAAAGGCAGAAGCCCAGAGCACTTAAACGCTTGTCCACCTGACAAGAGGCTTCCACACTGTTTTCTCTCAGCACCCTGGCCATGGCATAAACAAGGGCACCACAGCATTTACAAAGCTGCTCTCAAATTTCAAAGGTCTAAATCTGAGCTGCAGAACCCTCTTGTTTCCCAGAAAACACACTGGAATGAACAAAGAGGTGACACTCAAAGCCTAGGGAAGTGCTTCTCACTCCTGCATGACCCACAGAGATCTGTGTCGCTGGGTGGGGAGGCCCCTTAGAGAAAGAACTCGGCTTAGGGTATAAAAAGAGGCTTGATTACTTCCTCCCGTGGTACTGTACCAGCAACGGCACAGATACCATTGGACCAAGCCAGGCGCAGGTTACTTTTCTTTCTGTAACTGAGGGGATTGTGGGATATTCTCTTCTTGCCTCTGCCACTGGTCTGTCTTTAGCAGCAGTAGGAAAGTGGAGGTGGCCTCTAAGGCAGTCCTGGTGCTTAAGTGTGACTGCTACAGTGGATAATGACGTCACTGAAAAACCACCTGGCCTCTGACAGCTATTAACAATGGGCTTTTCAAGTGGGAGCTGGGCTGAGTTGTTACAGGCCAGTCCTCCGAGTCTCACATGCTGGACCGCAGGGAGACACCCCGTGCACCGCAGTTACCTGGGTGTGTGTGAGCACAGGGCTCAGGAGAAGCGCAAGTCTGCCTCACCGTTGCCTTTTGCCTCCTGATCTTCCTTTCCATACACCTAAGACTTGGAATTAAAGGGGGGTCTCCTATGACGAAAGGTGGCAGGAAGGAAAGGCTCCAGTAACTGCTAACGTCCCCAACAGAAGTATTCAGCTGCTAGCAAGTGGTCCTGTCCCTCCCCGTCCCCTGTGCCACTGCCCAGCGGCCCGTCTTTCCAGCACAGAGCGAGCAGTGCCACTGCTGGGGCACACGAGCTGGAGAGCGCGCTGCGCTCGGATTTCAACATGAGAAGAACATTTCCTGCTTGGACAGTTACGGACACAGTAAATAAGATAATGCATGGAAAGCATCTGGTTCACGGTCAACTCCAACATGCCATGTAACCCGAACAACAGTGCCGATTACAGTAAAGCCAGTTCACCCACAAAGCCACCATCTCTGAATCCCCAGCACGAGCAGCTGGTCACCCCTTTAAGGAAGCTTGGAGGTGGTGAGATGATCCGGGGAGCCTTTCCAGAACATCTCACTGCATAAGCCACCGGGACCCCAATCCCTGGCAGCCCCCTGGGCCTGACTGCATTTCACCCTACAGAGCCTGGGGATCCACTTACGGTCTCCGGAGCATAAGTGCCCAGGCCCAGCACTGGCATGAAGTGCCCATCACTCAGTTTCACAGAACTACTCGGTGTGAGGTCCATCACCATCCACGGGCGTGGCTAGTCTGACTCTGACCCCTCTCCCATTCCTAATCAAGAGCCTTCAGTGTTTTTCTTTTCCACCAATCCCACAAGTGGGTGTGACTGGGTTTTAGCTGCCAAGGATTTCAAAATGAAACTGGAAAATTCCACTGACTCTGCCCATTCTCTCAGTCTCTGCAGTTGCCCCTTCAGGAATGTCATGCAGAAACGGGCATCCCCAGGACCTCCACTTCTCTCCTCAGCACTGCTCACCCTGACTCCATGCAGCTTGTCCTTCAGAATCACACCTACTTTCTCCATGAGATGCAAGAAAATCATTAGACTGATCATGTCTAACTCTGTTCTGTTTGGTGAGGGTCCTCACCCTTGTTTTGTCAAAATCCCATCAGAAAGACAAGATGCAGGATTTCTTGAACAAAGCCCAGGGTTTGTTTCCAAGCACACAGGTAACAAAATTGCTTGACAGTCTCCCTCCCCAGACTGGGTTATCACTTTCCCTGTAAGCACTGCTCTCCTCGTCCTGTGTCTTGTGTCCTTGAATCTTTTGCACAAGATTCAAATTGCCTGAGATCAAAGATGCATAGTGTGCCCTGAGTCAGTCTTGTGCTTCACAGACTAGCCTGTTCTGTGCCTGGGTTCCCTCAGCCTCTAACTCCCACGTACACTAGAAGCAGAGGTGCTGCCCTGAGCTCTAGGTCGCTTCTATCCCTGCCGGGCAGTGACCACTCTTCCTGGCATCCTCACATCACCCACAATAACGCTGTCGCAGTCCGCATCAGTGACATCACACCGGTGACCACCAGGCGCGGCACTGGAAAAGCTGGGAAGCGAGTTTGGCTCAGTGTACTGGTGACCGGGCGCCTATCCTGCATCTGTGGACATGGTATGTTAGAGCGACCACTAAATGTACCCTGCATTATTCTTATTATCTCCACCCTCCCTGACCTTGCTGTGGTGGGACCTCAGGCCCCAGAGCCTTCCTCCTCTCCCCTCCTTCCTCACCCACCCCCTACTTCTCACCACGTGGCCTGCATGTGTCAGTTCTGAGTCTTATTATTGGAAGTCACAAATCTCTGCTTTTCCACTTGTCCTGGAGCATGTTGCTGAGCGACACCTTGCAGTCATAATAGGCACAGGCCCCAGTTTAGTCACCACACTAAATTGGCCTCAGAATGCTGGTTGACATCAAATTCCTTGTGATCCTATCAAACCACACATTTGGGGTCTTGTGTCCGTTGGAACATTGCATCAGCTCTACATTGATGAGTATGCCCTCTATGTTTTCATTACTCACATCGAGTTCTGTATCTCAGGTCACAGATACCCCTGTGGAGTGAGTGGAAGAGACAATAGGAACTTGAATACAGACAGTGAGTCTATACTCATTCAAGGAAGGGCAGGCTGGTCCCTGAGTCACTTCTGCTTCTCACTTGCAACTTGGAGTCACTGGGGGGAAAAGTGGCAGAAAGAAGCAAGAAATCATGTCCTCTCCCTCTCCACAGGGGGAAACCCTCCGGTGGACGACTGGGTGGTAGGAGGGAGCGAGGGCCACATGGCTTGGCCAGAGCCAGGTGAGGTACCAAGCTGTGTGGCATCCTCAGGGAGATCAGGCCAAAGGCCAGAGGGACTGGGGGACAGGTCTCCTCGAGCTGGTGCCTGGAGAAGCAGCAGAGTGGGTGGTAGTGACCAACACAGACAGTCCCCCTGCTGGACAGCCTACGAAGTCCTGAGACTGTGTGGGTGGTGCCGGCTAAGGATATGCTGAGACACAGTCTCCCTTGAGTAAACAGAGGCTTGTTTTACCACAAAGAAGCTGCTCCTTTCCTCAGAGTGTTCTCAGAGCCTCTCTCCATCTAGTGCCTATTGTAGAGAAAGTTTCAAGTCATGCAAGTCTGCTGATGCCCCTTTGGCAGATTGATTCTTTTGATCTAAAGATAATTAAGAAGCAGTAGATTCAGAAGAAGTCATTTATTTGTCTCCTTACTGCCTCAAAGTAGAGTCTAAATTTCCTGATGTGTTGTCCCTGTACCAGGAAACAGAAACAATTATTATCATCCAAGAGACCCCTCTGGTAATACAACACGATTTACCATATACTGCACTCCTCACCTTCCCATGGCTTGCCTTCCCTGCCCAGAAAGCCCGCACCCTTCTTCCTTCATATAGTCTAAGGTGGTCTATAAACCCCAACCATCTAGCCACCTCTGTGAGTTTATTTCTACGGACACTCCCTGAATACACATGCAGTTAAAGCCTTTTTCCCCTCTTGTTAATCTATCTTTTGTCCATCTAATTTTCAGGACCCCAATAGGAAAACTTAGGAGGCTTGATGAAAGTGTTTTCTTCCACTACAGTAGACTTAGTCACTAAATGGAATTATTCACTAAAAGCCACACCTGTATTTTGTGGGCATAATACCCACACCCCAGAAGTGGATGGCAGGGTTCCCTGAAAAGCTATAAATAAATGCTATTCTAGCCTTCCAAGGCTCCTGGCCCAGGGCGGTCTTTCTCTTCCCTTCTCCAATATTGAAGGGCGGATGGGCCACAAGATGTTCCCATACTAGGTTTTCCCAGGATGTACAGATAGAACGCACCAGAAGGACATTCCCAAGATCTGTTACTTTGACGTGCAGATTATTTTGAGCTGAGGTCAGTTGAAGCCCTGCAAGCTAGTGGGAAACTTCTACCTTTCCCTTAACTGCCTAAAATCTAGAGGATTTCTCTAGAAATAACCTTTCTATCAGAGAAAATTTATCTATAGTTTAGGACATACCTGTCCTGCAAGCATCTGGTCTTCACATGAGTTACCCTCTCTGCATCATCTGAGTCCCCATCTCTCTGAAGCCCTATCCTGTTTCTTAGCTCAGGAATACCCTCATATTTCCTCACTCACCTTGGAATCCATACTATGCAGATTCCCAAACTATATGTAACTATATTTTTTCTCCCTTGAACTAATCTAATGTTAATTTGATTGCTTGACCAACTCAACAGGATACTTGGGTGCTGGGATGGAAGACCACCAGGGATGCTGAACTGCGTAGGGTTGATGTGGACTATGCCTGAGGGGAGAAATCAAATAGTGCCCAAAATTAACAATGGAAGAAAATTAATCAATAAATTAATCAATAAAAATATGTCAGGTTGTAAACTGTGACTTTAAAATAACACTGCTCTTTGAAAAACTATTGTGGATGAGGCCAGCAAAGCTGAACCAAGGGCTTGCCGAGTTGCAGGGCGGAACCACTGGAAGATGCGAGAGTCATGTGTGAACCGACGGGTAGCTGTACTCTACTAAAATTTGCTCTGGGTCAAGTTAAGAGCCTGGCATCACCCAACTCATCCCTTTGCCAAAGACTGGGATTAGCACAGGTGGGGCTGCAGAAGCGCTCAGCTCAGCAAACACTGACTGAGTCTCCTCTACTTACAAACCCTGATCCTGTGTTTTGTTTGTTTCCTGGAGGCCATGTGCTTAAGAATAAGTCTACAGATTCCAAAATTTGCTTTTAAAGGCCTATACCTTCAAACCTTCCTTTCCATGAAAAATAAAAGACTTTCTTTAGACCAGAACATGTGTCATTATGGCTTGATCTTAAAGTCCCAGTGCCGGGGTCCTCTCTCAGCAAAACTACCCTTTCTGGGGCAGCTCTTTCTGCCCGCTTGTGTCCATGCAGTATTAAGTAGGAGTGATTGCATAAAACCCAGGTTATATAATCTTCTTAGGTGCAATTGCCTGTCCTGAGGTCAAAGCCAGGGCAACATCATTGGTTGCCAGGATTTGAAAGCCTTCAGCAAACAGCAGAAAACACATAAGCAAATCATACACACTACTATTTATGTACTTAATAACTTCCACAGTAGAATTAGATTTTTCCTGTTAAAGTTCAACAATTTCTCTACTGTTCTGTAGAGACACGGACATCTGAGGGCCCCAGTCCCATGTCTCACTACAGCTGTTTCTCTGCTCGAAAACCAATAGCTCCATTATCAAGGACAGATAGGGACATTTTGTGTTGTGTCCTTTCCCGTGGTGAGAGTTTAGAGAAAAACAAATTTGCTTAGCAAGAAGCTATATAAACTCTTGTCAAGGACATGTCCCTCCACACATACCCATTAAAACATCAGTCACTCAGCATGGTTAGCTAAAAAATGTTTCCACAAATCTCTTCATCCTCCTTCCCTCAAAATTTTGCTGGCTCATACTGAACAAAGGGGACCAGCAGCATGTAAGCAAGGCCTGAAACACAGACCTGACCCCCTACTTCTCTCCCCTCACAGGTTCTAGTTTTGTGCTCACAGCTGGTTGGGGTGGAATGAAGTTCATCCAGAGAGGGCTGTTGCTTTTCACTCATCCTATTAACTTAAGTTCTCCTGCTGGTCACCTTCCCAGGGGGCAGAGAGGGCAGTGACCCTCTCTAAGGTTGACCACATAGTGTGTCTGCATGCAGCATGAATCAGATCGTGTAAAAGGAAAATGTGAAAAGGCTGTCCTAGAAGGAGAAGGACCCAGCGTGACCTTGAAAATGGCGTGGGGTGTGCTGCACCATCTGGACACTAATAGGTACCTGAGGCCAGGCCTGCTAAGTCCCTAGTCTGTTCTGTCTTGACCCCCGCCCTCACTGCCCAGCTGAGAGTGGCTGCACAGAGCAGTCTGGCCCCAGGAAGGGCTCCTGGTGACGAAGCAGGTGGGACATTTTAGAGGAGGACATGGGCACTGCATGTGAGAGCATGGGTGCTCGGTAGAGCAAATCTTGTCCTTGCGCAAGTGCATTTGTTTGTATAATCGCTCCTTATTATTTTTTTCCATTTAACCTTAAGATTCCTCAGGCCTGCAGATGCCAGGGTAAGGTGGTTCTCAAAAGGGAGGGGCTGGGAGAGTCCCCCCAGGTCCCATTTCCTGTAGGGCAACTGCAGACAACTCCCTACGACCTGCATGTTATTGAGCACTGTTACACTGCAGTGGCCATCAGCAGACTTGCATGAACTTGAAACTTTCTCTACAATAGGCACTAGATGGAGAGAGGCTCTGAGAACACTCTGAGGAAAGGAGCAGCTTCTTTGTGGTAAAACAAGCCTCTGTTTACACAAGGGAGACTGTCTCTCAGCATATCCTTAGCCGGCACCACCCACACAGTCTCAGGACTTCGTAGGCTGTCCAGCAGGGGGACTGTCTGTGTTGGTCACTACCACCCACTCTGCTGCTTCTCCAGGCACCAGCTCGAGGAGACCTGTCCCCCAGTCCCTCTGGCCTTTGGCCTGATCTCCCTGAGGATGCCACACAGCTTGGTACCTCACCTGGCTCTGGCCAAGCCATGTGGCCCTCGCTCCCTCCTACCACCCAGTCGTCCACCGGAGGGTTTCCCCCTGTGGAGAGGGAGAGGACATGATTTCTTGCTTCTTTCTGCCACTTTCCCCCCCAGTGACTCCAAGTTGCAAGTGAGAAGCAGAAGTGACTCAGGGACCAGCCTGCCCTTCCTTGAATGAGTATAGACTCACTGTCTGTATTCAAGTTCCTATTGTCTCTTCCACTCACCCCACAGGGGTATCTGTGACCTGAGATACAGAACTCGATGTGAGTAATGAAAACATAGAGGGCATACTCATCAATGTAGAGCTGACGCAATGTTCCAACGGACACAAGACCCCAAATGTGTGGTTTGATAGGATCACAAGGAATTTGATGTCAACCAGCATTCTGAGGCCAATTTAGTTTATCAGTAACCAGTGTGGTGGCTAGACTTGGGCCTTGCCTATTATGACTGCAAGGTGTCGCTCAGCAACATGCTCCAGGACAAGTGGAAAAGCAGAGATTTGTGACTTCCAATAATAAGACTCAGAACTGACACATGCAGGCCACGCGGTGAGAAGTAGGGGGTGGGTGAGGAAGGAGGGGAGAGGAGGAAGGCTCTGGGGCCTGAGGTCCCACCACAGCAGGGTCAGGGAGGGGGGACTTACACCAGCAGACAAGGGAGGGTGGAGATAATAAGAATAATGCAGGGTACATTTAGTGGTCGCTCTAACATACCATGTCCACAGATGCAGGATAGGCGCCCGGTCACCAGTACACTGAGCCAAACTCGCTTCCCAGCTTTTCCAGTGCCGCGCCTGGTGGTCACCGGTGTGATGTCACTGATGCGGACTGCGACAGCGTTATTGTGGGTGATGTGAGGATGCCAGGAAGAGTGGTCACTGCCCGGCAGGGATAGAAGCGACCTAGAGCTCAGGGCAGCACCTCTGCTTCTAGTGTACGTGGGAGTTAGAGGCTGAGGGAACCCAGGCACAGAACAGGCTAGTCTGTGAAGCACAAGACTGACTCAGGGCACACTATGCATCTTTGATCTCAGGCAATTTGAATCTTGTGCAAAAGATTCAAGGACACAAGACACAGGACGAGGAGAGCAGTGCTTACAGGGAAAGTGATAACCCAGTCTGGGGAGGGAGACTGTCAAGCAATTTTGTTACCTGTGTGCTTGGAAACAAACCCTGGGCTTTGTTCAAGAAATCCTGCATCTTGTCTTTCTGATGGGATTTTGACAAAACAAGGGTGAGGACCCTCACCAAACAGAACAGAGTTAGACATGATCAGTCTAATGATTTTCTTGCATCTCATGGAGAAAGTAGGTGTGATTCTGAAGGACAAGCTGCATGGAGTCAGGGTGAGCAGTGCTGAGGAGAGAAGTGGAGGTCCTGGGGATGCCCGTTTCTGCATGACATTCCTGAAGGGGCAACTGCAGAGACTGAGAGAATGGGCAGAGTCAGTGGAATTTTCCAGTTTCATTTTGAAATCCTTGGCAGCTAAAACCCAGTCACACCCACTTGTGGGATTGGTGGAAAAGAAAAACACTGAAGGCTCTTGATTAGGAATGGGAGAGGGGTCAGAGTCAGACTAGCCACGCCCGTGGATGGTGATGGACCTCACACCGAGTAGTTCTGTGAAACTGAGTGATGGGCACTTCATGCCAGTGCTGGGCCTGGGCACTTATGCTCCGGAGACCGTAAGTGGATCCCCAGGCTCTGTAGGGTGAAATGCAGTCAGGCCCAGGGGGCTGCCAGGGATCGGGGTCCCGGTGGCTCACGCAGTGAGATGTTCTGGAAAGGGTCCCCGGATCATCTCACCACCTCCAAGCTTCCTTAAAGGGGTGACCAGCTGCTCGTGCTGGGGATTCAGAGATGGTGGCTTTGTGGGTGAACTGGCTTTACTGTAATCGGCACTGTTGTTCGGGTTACATGGCATGTTGGAGTTGACCGTGAACCAGATGCTTTCCATGCATTATCTTATTTACTGTGTCCGTAACTGTCCAAGCAGGAAATGTTCTTCTCATGTTGAAATCCGAGCGCAGCGCGCTCTCCAGCTCGTGTGCCCCAGCAGTGGCACTGCTCGCTCTGTGCTGGAAAGACGGGCCGCTGGGCAGTGGCACAGGGGACGGGGAGGGACAGGACCACTTGCTAGCAGCTGAATACTTCTGTTGGGGACGTTAGCAGTTACTGGAGCCTTTCCTTCCTGCCACCTTTCGTCATAGGAGACCCCCTTTAATTCCAAGTCTTAGGTGTATGGAAAGGAAGATCAGGAGGCAAAAGGCAACGGTGAGGCAGACTTGCGCTTCTCCTGAGCCCTGTGCTCACACACACCCAGGTAACTGCGGTGCACGGGGTGTCTCCCTGCGGTCCAGCATGTGAGACTCGAAGAACGGCCCGGAAAAAACCCACCCAACCCCCCACTGAAAAACCCAATGGTAAAAACCGGCAAAAGCCAAGGGGGTTTTCAAGGAACGCAATAACCAACGGAACAAGCAAAACTAAACAACAAAACACCCCCAGAGACCACACCCACACTCCCACACCGCCGAAAAACACACAACAGGCACAGACAAAAAAAGAAAATACCACAAAACCCCCACAGACACAAAAAAAAAAAAAACCCGCCCCGCGCGGGCCAAAAGGATATCTGCCCCGGCGCGGACACAACAACACGAGAAAAAAAAAAAAACCCTCTTTATACACCAAAAGCAGAGCTCTCTCTAAAAGGCCCCCCCACACACAGACACACAGATCTCTGGGGCACACACAAGAGAGAAAAACACCCCCAGACGCTGAGAGTCACACCTCTGTGCACACCACAGTGTGTTCTCGGAAAAAAAAGAGGGCTCCACAGCACAGATAGACACCTGAAAAATGAGAGAACAGCTGTAAAAACGCTGGGGCCCCCGTGTATACCACAGCCACAGGGCGCAGAGAAAAAACAGTGGAAAACACTCGTCACAGGGACAAAAGCGTAAAAGCGCTCGGCGCCTCCCCCTGTATATACACCGCTCGCGCCACAGTTCCCCAAAAACGCGCCACAGTCGCGTCCCCACAATATCACACAGAGGCGCACACACACACACAGCACAGCGCGGACACCCCCGAGATACAAAAAGAGTGTGTACACCTGTGACACCAAAAACACAGAGAAAAAAAAGAAAAAAAATATAACAGTGTGAGATGGCAAAAACAAAAAGAAAAAGGCCCCTTGAGATCATAGGGGTGGCGATAAAAAAAAAAACACAGAGAAAACATCACAGCGAAAAAAAAAAAAACAGGCGAAAATGACACACACAGGGAGAGGCTTCCAACAATAGTAGGAAGAGAAGAAGATTCTACTACTCCGCGGCGTCACAACACATAATGACACGACTTTCCTCCTGGCTAAGAAGCAGAACAACATTCAATGTTATTGTGTTAAATGCCAGCAGCACATGAGGTATTCAGAGAGAGGGGCCAATGGGGATGGAGTCTTCTGGGAAGACTTCAAGGAGGAAGTGAGTTGCGCTTTAGCAGGTTTGTAGTTAGGGACAGGATTCCAGTGCAGAGTGGGATTGGTTCAATCCAAGCAGGAGAGGCCTGTCTGCATGTCGTCCCCTCACAGAAGTTTAAATCTGGTCACGGGTCACCCTCATGCAGCCCAATTTATGAAATAGGAGGCATGCAGAATAGCAGGAGGGAAAATTGACTGGAATTTGTGGAATTAAAGCAGTTTGTTTATTCTATATTTTTCCTAAGGAAAAGGGAAATTAATTTATAACCTCTGCAAAGAAAAAAAAAAGATTGAAAAAACATTCCTGGTGTTGTCATTAAATGTATCCATTTATCTGTACAATAGCATGTCACAGGACATAAACAGGGAGCACTCCCCTCTCTTCCAGCTGGGTCCAAGGCCATTTGAATGGTCCTTGTCCCTCTGCCTGATGTTCTACAACACAGTTGGCCTCAGCCACCACTGTGCTGGTTGAAGTTACCTGCTTAATGGGGTAATGTGAGGGAGCTGAGCCCAGGTTACTAGGCCCTCATGAATGTCATTGCTAATATTGGCCATTCATAGTACCAGGTGACTTCCTGGTACCCAGAGTTGCCCCAGTGACTTCCCCTCACTGCGGACATACTCCTTTCTGCCACCGTTATATGGAGGCCACTCTATCTACTTCTCAAAGATGGAGCCAATTGCCATGGCCCGGTCTGTCTGGTAATTTGTTTTATAACTTCACATTTACAGGCACAAAGCAGCCTGAACCAGTAGGCGGCATCAGGTTGTGTGGGACCCTTCCTGTGTCATCTACTGGAAGCTTCCCTCTGGAGCCAGGATCTTTAATTGGGGAGGTCCTTGAAGATGAGCAAAGAGGCAGCACAGATGCCCCGAGTGGCCACTGGGGTCTGGCCGGGAGGGTGTGACTGGTGGATTGGTGTCCTGCTCCCTCACCTTGAGCTCTCCAGGCTTAGCCTGACTCCCAGATGCCAGTGTGGCGTCTGCTGGCCTGTGTGCCAGGGGCTAATGCAGGCCTCCAGGAAAGGGCCTTAGCGAGGAACTCATTGGATTTAGTATGAACATCCCAGATGTTCTATATCTACATCTTTAGAAGATTGCTGTCCAAATGTCAGGGCTTTTCCTGTTATTTCCTTAAAACTGTTGATTTGACATGATTTTCTATGTTCCCTGGTAAATCATTTTTAACTAATTCATGACAGATCAGTGGTTATATTGAAGCTTATACTGCAACTTAGCTATACTGAAGCCTAGTCTAAACTGTACAAGCTTGCTACCAAGATTCTTACCATCAAACATGTATAAATAGTTATTGACTACCGCTAGTAAGGAAATAAATTGCTTTTCTCTGAGTTGGGAACATAACCAATTCTATTTATTTATATTTTATAGGTTCCTAAGAGCAAGTGTTTCGAGGCCATCAAAGTGGCTATTGATGTAGGATTCCGGCATATTGATGCCGCATATGTGTATGAAAATGAAGCACAAATTGGACAGGCCCTTCAAGAGAAGATCGCAGATGGAACTGTAAAGAGGGAGGACATATTCTACACTTCCAAGGTGCTTTGGGAGAGTGATAAGCAGTCCTTGTTATTTGGGGGAGAAAAACAAAGTTTGGTCTTGGTTTGACTATTACACTTGGTCATTGTAGAGGTCCATTATCGAAAGAGGAAATAGGAAAACTTGCTTTTGTATGGGATATGTTAAAGGTAGGATACAGATGCTCAACCTCTTCAAACATCAGTCTGCAGTCATTTGGAAAACTCTACTACATGCCCTTTTCTGAACCATGAATGTCTCCACAATTTTATTCTCCAGAAGAATCTGTCAGGATGATTTCAAGTGATGTTGCATCGTATTCAAAAGTGACCCAGACCAGGAGATGCTTTGAGCTTACTAAAATGTGTAAAACTTTGTTTGAGTAAAAGAGTTTTACAAATGAAATCAAAAGAGAACTGATGCATGTCTCTATTAATGATAATTTGGTTTTGAATGTGGGCTCTCAGTAAGACTTTTATTTTTAAAAATGCATTTTTAATGAAGTCCCTTTTTCTTGCATCCTTGTTCATTTTTGTTAGCATAGGATTCTCCTTTCAAGTGTGGTCATTATAATTCTCTCTCCACCAAAGCACCCATATTCTATCACCATAGTGCTCTGTTTTCATTCCTTCCTCTCTCCTTGCTCCTCCTTCCAAAATGCCTCATATCTATGGTCAACTTTCCTGGTTTATCTTTATCTAAATGTTTTTTTTTTTTTGGCTTTTCTATATTACACAGGTAAGTGAAATCATCTGACATTTATCTTTCTTCTTCTGACATATTTTGCTTAGTATAATCCCTTCCAGCTCCATCTATGTTGCCAAGAATGGCTTGAGTTTACCATTTTTGACAGTTGAATAGCATTCCATTTTGGATATATACTGCGTTTCTTGATCTACTCATCTGTTTTGGGAAATTTAGGTTGTTGCCATATCTTAGCTATTAGATATGTGCTACAATAAATATAAGAATACAGATTTCTTTTTGGCTCAGTGTTTTTATGTTATTTGATAGATACCTAAGGTGGAATTGCTGCATCACATGGCAAATTCATCTTTAATGTTTTTTTTTAAAGATTTATTTACTTATGCATACAAGAACTGGGGTATAGGCCAGAGATGTGGAGTTTGAGAGAATTTACCAGAGACAGAGTACGGAGCAGAACAGGCAGATCTACTGAAATACACTGCTGAGGGGAGCAGTTAGAGAGACAGGAGAGGTCTGTTGTGCCGTGTGGGTCAGCTCCCTGGTCAGGCATTCAACTTGTGCTGTGGTAACTGCTGATAGCTTCATAGTGCTGAGTTCACCACTTCTGCCACCAAGGAGGCCCCATTTTTAGTGTTTTAAGGAAGTCCACACAGCTCTCCATAGAGGCTGAATCAGTATCCATTCCTACCAACAAGAAAGGGCCCACTCATCTCTACACTCTCTCCAGCAGTTGTTTCTTTTCTTTCTTTCTTTCTTTTTAAGATTTATTTATTTGTGCATTCAAAACTGGGTTACAGGCCAGAGGTGCAGGGGCAGTAAGAGGATTCACCAGAGACAGAGTAGGGAGCAAAACAGGCAGATAGTGGAAGTACACGGCTGAGGGGAGCAGTGGGTGGGTCAGGAGAAGTCTGCCGCAGCATGTGGATCACTTCTGGGGCAGGCGGGGGTCGAACTCATGCAGAAGTGGCTTTAACTTCTTAGTGCTGTGCTTTAAGCCACTGCCCCTCCAGGGAGGGCGCTCTTTTCTTTTTTAAATATTGACCATACTCACAGGTGTGAGATGGGATCTCATTGTGATTTAGATTTGCATTTCCCTATTACTTAATGATGGTGGACATTTTTTTCTCACATAACTGTTGGCTCCCTGAATATCTTCTTTGGAAAAGTGCTTATTTAGCTCTTCTACCCATTTTTTGATTGGATTGTTTGTTTTTTATTGAGCTGTATGAGCTCTTTGTAGATCTTCAAGGTCAGTCCCTTGTAAGATGTTTGGCTTGCAATACTTTCTCCCTTTCAGTAAATAGCTATCCATAGTTGACTCCTCTTTCACAATATAGATTTTTAGATGAGTGTAGTCCCAGTTGTTTATAGTTTCATTATTTTTCCGAGCTGCTGAAGATGAATCCACAAAGATGTTTTTGAAGTTTATGTCATTGAATGTTTTGCTTATGTTTTCTTCTATGTATTTTATAATTCAGGTCTTATAAGCAAGTCTTTTATCCAATTTGAGTTGATTTCATGTATGGTGTGATAGAGGGGTCTGGTTTCATTCTTTTACATGTGGCAGCCCAATTTCCCAGCATCACTTACTGAAGAGGAATTCCTTGTTATATGCTTCACTCTTTTTTTTTTTTAAGATTTATTTGTGCATACAGAACTGGGGTACAGTCCAGAGGTATAGGGGCAGTGAGAGGATTCACCAGAGACAGAGTGGGGAGCAGAACAGGCAAACGGACAAAGTACACTGCTTACGGGAGCAGCTGGCAAGTCAGGAGAGGTCTGCTGTGCCATGTGGATCACCTCTGGGGCAGGTGGGGATGGTACTCATGCGGAAGTGGCTTTAGCTTCTTAGTGCTGTGCTTTAACCCGCTGCACCACCAGGGAGGGCCTATGCTTCACTCTTTTGTCACAGATTAGTTGTCTATAAATGAGTGGTTTTATTTCTGAGCTCACAATTCTATTCCTTTGGTCTGTGTATCTGTTTTTGTCCAGTATCAAGCTGTTTTAATTATTATAGTATATGATGATAGTATAGTTTACAGTATGAAAATGTTCAGGCACTTATTTTATAGGCTAGTGAATTCCATTTTTCCTTGTCTGGCATTTCTTGACTCTTCTTTCAGAAGTGAAATTTTCAGTTCTAAACCATACAAGTTCTTTCTGGGTGCAAATAAGTTTTATTCACAGTTTTCTTACGGTTGCTCAAATAAATCTTGGTGCTCATTTAGGACCTTAGTTATATTATGTTACATGAACTAAGTCCCAATATTTCTTTTTTGACCACTACAGTGTTCTGTTACCCATTTCTCGATCTTTTATGGAACTCAGAAAAAAAAAACAATTAATAATTCCAAGAATAAAATTAGTTGGGGGAAAAAACATACAAGAAAAGAAGGCAGTTTTAGAAAGTGAGTTCATTGTAAGACCCACATGCACATCCCCTAAAGAAGGCTAACATCCCTGCATATAATCTCTGGAGGACATTCCCCTCCATACTCTATCTCACCCCTAAGTCTACATCACTATCTATAGAGATGCAAAGCATGTAGGGTCCTGTAGTTGGCTGATATTCACATGCATGATTATTCTTTTTCTAGTCTCTTGATCTCATAAATAGGGTTGCTGTATACTAGTATTTGTACTTTTAACCATGGTGTGTAATTTTAGACCCCAGGTGTGTGAAACCATAAATCATTTTAAAATTTATTTTGATCACGGCAGCTCTGGTGTACCTTCTTTCGACCAGACTTAGTTCAACCAGCCCTGGAAAGCTCACTGAAGAAACTTCAAATGGACTATGTCGATCTCTACCTTCTTCATGTGCCATTTTCTTTAAAGGTAAGCTTTGATTTTCTTTGTTATGCCAAAGACTCTTCCTTTACTGCTATGTCATTTGGCCTGATTTTTTGGCTTTTACTATGAAAGGTGGATTTGAGCAATGAGGATAGAATTGTTAGATGATTGTAGTATCCCTTAGTAACCGAATCACCTGCTTCAAGATTATTTTTACTTCCTTCTCCTCGACTTCACAGAGATTCAAAGAGCTCTGTACTTTCATCTCAATTAGTACGGTCACTGCCCATAGACTAAGCTGTAGTGATTATGGGCCTCAAGAATGTTGATATAGAATAGATCACAGAGATGTAATTGTTCTATTGGGCAACACCACACTGACAAAGAAATGGGAGTCATGGAACAGGCTACATAATGCAGGATGCTGCTCAAGAGCAAGATCCTGGCATTTTGATTGATACAGTACCAGTCAAAAGGGGAAGTTAAATGAAAAGGGAGAAGTAGAAGAAGGAGGGGCAGAGTAGTTCTGGATTTTTCATCTTGGTATTTGGGTCCAGCCCTGATTCCCCAGTTAGAATTTCAATACTATCAATAAGGCCTTCCAGCTTCTGGAAGTCCTTTGTTATATATCAGTCAACGGCCCTCTGGCATTCCCAGTGGTACCTTGTAATGTGTAAGTCAGGAATAAGTTTATACATCTGTCCTCAGGCCCTCCTTCCCCCAACCCTGCCTGTGTTTCTGGTCATACCTCTTGAAGCACAACCTTCCCAGGGTGATCCAGCTTCATGCCCTTAATTGATATGACAGTCACCTTGTAGGTTGGGCTCTTATGACTGGGCAGTTCTGACCTTTGTTAAAGAACTGTAGGTAACAAAATAGAGGCTAGACAGGCTGCTTAGTTTAACAGACCCACATGTACTGGGAAAGCTGATTCTCTTTCAAGACAGGGCCTCATCTATATGAATCCCTCAGCCCAAATCCAGAATGAGATATCCTAGGATGGTCTATATCACTGGTCCATCCTCTCATCACCACGGATGCTTACCGAGCACTTCTGGTACCTTCACTGTTTCAGAGTTGGATTAATAAACTGGAGTTAACAATTTGATTATTAAAGAGAAGTCCTCACATTCCTAGTCAGACTTTCCTTGAGAAATAAAATAAATTCCAACTGCAGGAGAACTCATTACTAGTGATGTTTCAGGGTGGGAGTGGAGAGGAGAGTGAAGATTCGGGGATAGGAATTTAGTTACAGAGTTTCTGTGTTTGTGATGGTTCTTTCCTCCATGTCATTTCTCACACAAGACACACATATGTGTTCACATACACACACACACATACTCTAGCTAGGAATCACAGACTCCTGAATGTTGTGTGACCAAGCTTGTAGGTAGTATTGTAACAGGTGCTGCCCAGGAAAAGGGTAAGTTCCAGGTTCTCTGCCCCACCCAGAAGGAGGGTGGAGCTGAGCAGAGAAGGAATCTGAAGATGAGAAGGAAGGAGGATGGAGAGCCAGAAGGAGACCTAAGGAAGCCACGTGGAGCAGAGAGAGACATGTGAAGAAACTGTGTTTGCTTCTTGGTCCTGGCCTGGTTGAAACAGATGTGGGTGAGAGACCAGTGCGGAGGGTCACTATGGCAGCATTTATCTTGATTTTGATTTTTCTTTTTTCTTCCCAGACTTGTCTGGCTGTTTCTGGCCCTTTTCTATGGGTACTGACCAAAAGGTGTTTTGGGCTTATGGAGGGCTTTCAGGCCTTGCTTTGGCCCAATCCCTTGGGTAGACTTTTACTCAAGAGGGGATGGGTAACTTTGGGTGTTTGATTTAGAAACTATAATCTTTGTCTTTTCTGTATTGCACATTCATTGCATTAAAGGTCCTTTCCATTAAAGCTCTTATATCTTGTCTTGATGTGGCTGATGGCAGAACCTATTTAGAGCAGGCAGGTTCAGGGGTTCAGGGGTGCCCCCTCTCTGCCCTGTAATGGCAGGAAGGTGATTCTTTTAAAAAATGTACTTCATCCTCTTTTCCTTCTGTATTCCAGCAAGGAGAGACTATTTTGCCAAAGGATGACAGTGGGAAAATTATTTTAGAGACAGTGGACCTGCTTGAAACATGGGAGGTGAGTATGCAGACATCAGAAACACACAAGCCACAAGAGGGAAAAGGACAGACTGGGGGTCGTGGGACAGGGCTCAGGCTCTTCAGTTTCTGCCTCTGAGAACACGATGTGTTCTTATCTGTAAAGCAAGAGAGCTTAAAAGGTTGACGTCTAGGTGAGGTATTTCCTGTAAGCGGCTGATTTTCACACGTGTGATTCTTCTCTTTCTAGCCTCCTGACCTCATAAATAGGATTGCTACACTGTTATGTCTTACTTAGGGGTATATTTGTCCCTTAAGTAGGTTGCATAGATGAGCCCTGTGAGGGGATTGGAGGAAGTCAAAATGAGGTGTGAGAACTATATCCCAGCACAAAAATACCTGTGAAGGAGAAACTCCCGTCTGACTTGGCAGTGGGATAGACTATAGAGGGAAATGAAGCTTGACCTTAACTATTCCATCCCATAAACCATTTTCATGACCTTAGGAATCACAGCCTCCTGAAGGTAGTGAGCCAAACTCATAGGTCCAGGAGGTCACTCTGTTAAAAAAAAAAAGTAATTCAGCCCTCCCTAGTGGTGCAGAGGGTTAAAGCACAGCACTAAGAAGCTTAAGCCACTTCCGCATGAGTTTGATCCCCGCCTGCCCCGGAGGAGACCACATGGCGTGGCAGACCTCTCCTGACCCGCCTCCTGCTTCCTTCCGCAGTGTACTTCGTCATCCGGCGTGTTCTGCTCCCCATTCTGTCTCTGGTGGATCCTCTCATCGCCCCTGCACCTCTGGCCTGTACCCCAGTTCTGTAAGCATAAATAATAAGTCTTTTAAAAAAAAAACAAAGTAAGATCAGGCCTTCCCTGGTGGCGCAATGTGTTAGGATGTAGCACTGCAAGCTAACCACAGCCGCTTCAGTTTGAGCTCGATCCCTAGGCGGGGAGGTGATCCACATGGTGCAGCAGACCGCTCCTGACCCACCTGCTGCTCCCCTCAGCAGTGTACTTCGTTATCTCCCTACTCTGCTCCCCACTCTGTCTCTGGTGAATCCTTTTACTACACCTGTGCCTCTGGCTTGTACCCCAGTTCTTAAATAAATGAATCTTTTTAAAAAAAACCTCCCCTGCCTGAGGGGAGATTGTGCCTATGGATGTTAGGAAGAAGGATCAACAGAAGCCTTTATTAAAATTTGTTAAAGAACTATTACTTTACAGCAAAACAGTCACCTTGAAAGCTGATGAGGGAGGCAAGGAATTTGAAAGCATCTTCATGTTTTTGTATTGTCTGGATTACAAGTAAGAGACGCAAGGACACAGATATCTGTACATAGTGATAAGTAGGTTAGGAATTAATGTATCCAAGTGATAAACTGGTTTGTTTCCTTTAGACATATTATCACATATGTGAAACTAGATTTGCAGTTTTCAAAAGGTCAGTGTCAAATGAAAGGAGCAAACTACACTAATGGTTGGCCACACGCTTCCTTCCCTAG